TAAAACATACATACTGCAACATGTAGACTCCATGTGACCCAACAAACTATTTGATGTTATTATTAATAGGCCTGGGATGATAATCAATAAATCCTTTATTATGCATTATTTCACGTACAATTACCATGTGAGGCCTCTGGTACATGAATATAGTTTTTTGCTTGTCTGACTGATGAGTGTCAACAGAAAACAGAAGTTACATTCAATGACTTCTCCTTCTGTGGCCTGTTCACCTCCAACAATGTTGTGGTGACACAACAAACTGAGGCAAACAGTGAGAGACCAAACCAACAAGTCAGACCTTATACACTTAAAAGAAGAGCGTGTGGGTTCAAAGACCCCGGTGGATTTGCTCTGTGACTTCTCTGCAAACTGACACACAGATCATGTCTGCCGCTCAAGGACAGCTGCACTGAGTTAAAGGACTAGAAGCGAGGACATGTCTAAAGAGCAGATGAGGACGATGTCGCTGACGAGGCTTTGATAGTTTACTGTGAACTTTGATGTCGGATGTGACTGTATGTATATAGGAGCAGTTCTTCAGATCTGCTCCTATATCAAAGAGACCGTATTGTCTCCATTCATCTTAGAGATAATGTTAATGTTAACCAGAGCATCAATTATATGTAGGCTCTAGTCTACACAGTGGGTTAAAAGATGAAGGGAGTTCAATTTATTATCGCTCGAGATTTTCATTTTTGTGCAATTATCTCACTCATTTAACTTTTTAACTAGTTGTAATTCCCAGTCACAAAACCAGTCCCTGTAGTTGTTTTCCCCCAACCTTTATTCAGTAGTTCTCACTTTAATTTCTGTCATGCCTGCACCTTGGGGACAGAGATGTTTTCAACTTTATTTTGTTTAAAATCTAGTCATTCTGACCTGTCTTTCTAAAAGGAGAAGTTGATGAGGTGACACTTACAACAAATAGTTCCAAGAACTTTAAACAGTTCTGAAGACTAAGTGACAAGCACAGGCCACAGCACATACCTCAAAATAACAGACTAACAATCAAAAACTTTAAATCAGGGGTGTCAAACATATGGCCTGCGGGCCAAAAGCGGGCCCGCTACGAGATTCAATCCGATGAATTTTGATAGTAAAAAAAATTATAAACACTTGTTTTTGATGTCTTGTCATGATATTTCATTAAATATGGATGAATACATGGAGCAGTATTAATAAGACTCCATCACAGATCAACCCTAAACAACGAGGTGTCTGTGGGACGCGAGCAGCCACTCTTGACATGCTCCGCCGACACACGTGATAAATCCCTGACCAATCGCTTTTATGCTGTGGATTTTCCATGAAAGTGCGCATGTATTCACTCTGGTGGGTTTGGTCGGCTGGGTGTCTCCTGTTTCCCCACAGATCTTCACAGATGTTTAAGAAGACGTCACCGTCAAGGCTCCAGCAGCCACACTGGGATGTGTGCAACACTACAGCTACTGTACATGACTATAAAATTACACAGGCGCGACAAATACATTAGCATTGCCAGGCTAAAAACAGTCTCCATTAAATTAGCTTAATTGAGTCCAGTATGAGTGGAATCCCTGCTGATCTGAGTCCAAATATGCAGCGTTTTTTCACAAAGGTGAAGAGACGAGACACAAGGGCTAAACCAGGAGTGGAATTAAATGAAGAATCAATGGAGAATCAAAAACAAAAATTGTACAGTAGCATTCTGGGATATCTCTGACAGCAGATCGTAACCTGCTCTGTTCACTAACCCGAGGCCTGGAATTGAGCTTCTTTCTAACGTTCTTTTAGTTTTGGTGAAAACAAACTCAGGAGTTAAATCAAAACCAGTTGTAAAGCTTCAAGATTTTCACATTTAGCTGAAAACAACCTAACATTTTGACATAAGACATAAAGATATAACTTGTCCAACTGTCCAAACACGTCTTAGAGACATATACTAACATATGAATTCATCTGTCTTAGAACTTTTTGACTAAGATCTTCTCTGTCTCTTGACATTTTCATCTTTCAGCGACTGTTTTCTCACAAAATACTAAGATATATTTTCCCGAATCATAGATGTGGGAAACTGCAGGAAAAAAATCCACAGGGAATATTAAGGAATTCTCTTCGACCAACTTTATCAGATGAAATTTTTTTTTTTTGACATTCAATGAAAGAACATGAATCATGTTCTTTTGGCTAAGTGACATGAAGTGATTTATAATGTCATCCCTGTTTCATATATGTAACAACAAACAACACATCGTGGTGTCAACTCAGTTCACTGGTTTTAAAATGCGAGATCACAGAGGAAACTTCTAGATGTACCACCAACCACAGGGAAACGAAGAAAGTTCTGGAGAAACGAAAAGAACCAAACATATTTTCCCAGCTTTTGAAATGATGAGAATTTACAACAGATGTTTTTTTTTTACATCCTGGGAAATGATCCATAATAACACTGTCTAAGTTTTTATTAGAAATTTTATTGGAATTGATGTATTTATTAATTCATTTTCTGCAGTATTCTCTGTATCCCATTAATAGCGGATTAACCAATCATGAAAGTAATCCTTCCTCCTCTGGTCACTGCACCTCGACACATTCCTGATTGATGCCAGATGCCCTTCTCCTGTTCAGCACCAAACTCAAACCACCTGTAGCCCCATCCCTGTCAGGAATTTACAGAGATGAAATGCTGCCACTACAATAACCACATGTGGGCCTCTGAGGAAGGCAGAGGTAGCCTCCAGAGTAACAACACTGGATCTGCCATGGATATGCTCTTCCACCCCTGTTTAACCCAAATGAGGTCATGGTCCAAAAGTGCAGCCCATGGTACAGGGACCGGGTCACGGTAGACGTCTAGCAGAAACAGATTTAGTTATTACGGTCGCCATTACTGAGTCAAAACAGACTGCAGTTTAAAGAGGAAGAGACAAGGTCACAGTTTGATGACCTGCAGCAGGGCCACATGTTAGCGAAAACTCCCGGGGGGGGGGGGGTCCGAGCCCCTCGCTACAGTACACGGTTGTCAGATCCTAAGAGGATAACTTCCAGCTCAGTTTTCATAGCACCCACAACTGCCATGTTCCTCACTCAGTCGGATGTGATTTTCTAAACTTTTTCTAAGTTTTTCTTGGATACTCATGACCAGAGGTCTGCAACCCGTGGCTCCAGGGCCTCATGCAGCTCCTTTGCATCTTGGCAACGGCTGGCTGGGAGTGACCAAATGTATCATGACTGTGCTGACTGACACATCGACCACACGCAGAGAGGAAGAGGCTTTAACTTTTCCTGAAATTCCAGGCTAAACCGATTTTAGTCACACTAAATTTTCAGCTTGCTTGCTAACAGCAAAACAACACAAAGGAGCTGTCCTCCTTAGTGCTAGATCAGGCAACGTTGAGATAGGATAAGTAATGTTGACATCAGGACAGTGTTTGTGACTGCAGTGAGTGAGTCATAATAAGACATTTGCATCATTTGTTTGTTTGTTTTTTTGCACCAAAACACAGTAATAGGAGAGCTAAAGGCAAACAAATTTGTGGAGTTACAGATAGCCAAAATAAACAAATCTGAGAGCAAAAATTATAGTCTGTGTCTGACAAAAAATACTGTGTGAACATCCATATTCAGCCTCCTCTCAGTCTCTGCTGTGAGCTGACTGTCTCTCCCACCATTACTTCTTCAATCTGTGGTTTTTAAAAAGTCATCAAGTTGCATCGCTGCCACCTACTGCCTCTCTTCTCCACTGGTGATCTGAACAGGGAAGATAAATAGATAACGCAGACAGAGGGCAGCATCCACACTGACTTCTACAATACAATACAGTAACTGTCCACCCGTCTCAAGTTTGAATGACTCTGACGTGACTCTGACGTGACTCCACTTCAGTGTTGAACTCCTCTGCCTCACACAGCCCCAACTCTTCAGGCTCCACTCAACTGAAATGTCATTAAAAGCCTATAACGGTGGAACACTCAGCCAAGGTCGAGTTCAGTCACATGAGGCTTTGACACAATCGTACATGACACACGTGCAGCAAACTGCAGATACAGGAGGCAAAAACACATGACACTGCAGAAAGAGTCGGCTCCGAGAGGAGACGACACTGAGGAACTTTTTCGTGGAAGCCAAGTGAGCGTCAGTCTGTCGGACAGGCAGCACAGTGATGTAACTGACAATGCCATGCTTCTGATTAGGGGTAATCAACTGGGGGTCCGCAGCCCAAGGCAGTCCGTGAAGATGAAGCAGCTTTATGTTTAAAAAGTGTATTTTTTTCCATCAGTTTTTCCTACTAATATCTCAGTAATCTACGTATCTTTTTTTATTTTTTTTTCATTTTTACGTTTTATGTTCAACATTAACAGGAAGGCTGCACAGTGGAGGAGTGGTATGTGCTGCTGCCTAACAGCAAGAACATCATCAGTTCCATCCCAAGTTCTACTACAAGCATTTTTCTTTCTGCATGTTCTTCATGCAGGACGATGTGAGCGCGTTTGGCTCCGACACCATGAAGAAGAATAAGCAGCAGAAGAAGACGAATGAATGAATTAAATTGAATTCATTGGACTGCTTGGTATTCATAACTAACATACTGCAGTACTTCATGTACCAGGAATATACGCAGCTGTGTATTACTTGAATAAGGTACTCCTAAAAATCCAACCTTTCATGGTATGTTTATAAAAATGGAACTTGGTTCAGTTTGAAATATAATTGATAGAATATGAAGTATGAAGTGGAGGGTCCCTGCTCCAGGTCTCCAACAGTTGAAGAGCCTCTGACTATGGTTTAGGTTTTACAGTTTATGAGTCCACGTGATGACTGCCGTGTAATGGAAGCTTTCACACGTCAATAACGCAGAGTGAGGTGGTCTAAAGTGGAGGAGAGCGTGCGCAAAGATGCGCTGCTGAGTGGAGACCTCGGAAACTGTCTCACAGTCCGGTTCCCTCCCTGTACACGGAAACCCTCACCTGGTAAACAACAACCACGGACTCATTTCTCATTCACGCGTTGTTACTCACCATTAACCAGCGTCAGCGCCGCTGCAGGGTGACGTCTCAGCCCGAGCATCTTGACGCGCAAAAAGGAGTCTCCGCAGCTTCACTTAATTCCACAGACTTTCTTCTCTCTCTTCTTGTGTCTGATGTCACGGAGACACTTTAATTCCACAGACTTTCTTCTCTCTTTTCTTGTGTCTGATGTCACGGAGACACTGAGGTTCACGGAGCTTCAGATCTGCTCACTGACAAACAACAGTCCACACGTCATTCCCAGCGGCCACAGTTTGAAAGAGACTCCAGCACCGACGGTCCGGAGGCGGATGAGCTCTGTCCCATTGACTGTTCGCCTCTGCACAGACAGAAACACGGAGGAGACTGAGAGTAAGCTGGAGGAGGAGGAGGAGGAGGAGGAGGAGGAGTAAGAGGAGGAGGAAGGCGGCTGGGAGAGTTCACTGTACACCGGACCTCATCAGCTCCGTGGTGTGGGGTGAGATTCTGTCAGTTCATGGGAAAATACCAGTCAAGTAACAGCGGTGCTGTGACGTCACTGAACACTGTCTCAACAGTTGAGCAGACTGAGTGTCCTCAAGTGTTTAGACATTATAGACAAAAATAAAGACATAAATAAAGACTAAGAGTTCTTACACTAGATGAATGGACTGAATTAGAGTAAAACTAAGAATAACATCTGAAGAATTACGAGTAGGAAATAGTGCAAACTGGTAAAGAAAGCTGGAGGAAAGTAAAAAATAGCAGGACCGCGAGTAAAAACAACAAGAATAAAAAATATAAACATATATAAATGAGGAAGAAAAATAGGATTAATAAAATGAAGAACGGGATAAAGAGTAAAATCAGTAAAAGTCGTAGCTGATTGGAAGTCAGACATAGGACAACAACACCAGTGTTAGCAAAAGCTAGCAAAACTAGCTAGCTTGGTATTAATTAATCACAATTAATCGTCATGTAATTTATCACAGTCAAATTTGATGGAAATTAATCTCCTTTTCTCATGGTTTAACTAGATAAATAATCTTTTCTGAATAAGACAAAACACATTTCTGCTGTTGTTTATGACAAATGATGGAATTATTGATGTGGAAAAATATGTAGAAGTATTAACGATCACAGAGCTGTTGGATTTTAGTCAGGAGACGGTGGATGGAATTTAAAGCTTGAGGTTCTTCTGTGAAAGTCTTTTTAATTTAACCTATGTAACTTTGTATCTTGTGATAATTGTATTTGCTCATGGAGAGTGGGATTTCTATTTCTAAATATCTGGGCTTTAAATGAGCTTCTCCTGCTTCATGGACCTGCAACTGCTGCTGATTGGTATTGACAAAAATAAGACCTGCGGACTGAGACTGGGACAGACGTCAGACATTCAAGGATCGGAGCCAAAGGTGAGCTGTGTTGAATTTAGAAACATCTGTATCTAGTGCTTATTAGTCTGTCCCCTGGAGGCTGTCGTCAAAACGTGGTGATCCAACATGGCAGCCTCCGCACAGATGTTACAGACCAGCGCAGCACAAAAAGTCTGGAAAGTCCATGTTTGATGTAATTATAAACACATTTTCCGCTGGGAAATAATTTTTTTTTTAAAACAGTTTCATGTCCATTCAGTTTAATATCCCAGCGTTCACATGTGCGTGAAACACGGTGATCAAACTGGGAATATAGAATAACTGACTCCTCCTGTCTCTGTGGATCTGCAGCCTCTGTCTGAGTAAATCTATTTACCAGGGATGTACATCCACGCTCATTCACCAGCTCTAAGTGTGTGTGTGTGTGTGTGTGTGATGAAAGATATATGGCTGCCACCGAATAAAAAAGTCTGAAGTCACCACCCGTGTTATTGATGGAACGAAGCTTCATCTGTGGCTGTGGGAATATGATTTTCACCTCTGTAATAAAAGTGTTTTATTCTTTTAAAGAAAATAAACTGCGCATCGAAACTGTTGTGACTTTTAACAGGGTCCGTTTTGTGTCGTTAGCTCAAACATGAAGTTATGAGTCGGAGGTACGGTACGTCAGGAGACAGGTTTACCTGCAGCTCTTCATCTCACGGCTCCCTGCAGCTGATCCACTGCCCTAACGCAAAACATATCCATTTTAGTGACCTCCACCTCTCTGACAACAAACAGATTAACGTCAACTCGAGTTTCACCTTTTCAAGGCTTTGATGTGGAGCAGCCAGGGTCGCATCAGCGGGGAATCGAGGCAAAATGCCCTTGAAACGCTGCAATCGCCCCTGAAATTCACAAGTTAGGGTTTTTACAGCGGGGCTTCTGTAGCAAACACCAGTTGAATGTCTCTGTTGCTAAGTTTATACCAAAATAAGTCAATGTAAGGTATTAACCCTACGAGTCAACTAAAGCTGAACAGCTCATACTTGGCAAAAAAAAAAGCTAAAAAATTGCGAACAACTTAGCTTAAATGGAAAAAACAAGCAAATAAATTATACAAATATATATTTATTAATAATAGCTAAATTAGCTGGAAGTACATGTAGAAATAGCTTGAACAAAGCACCACATATTGCCATGAAAGAGTTAACCAATAAGAAGCTAAATGACATTTTTGTTCTAAAAATAAGTGAGCAAGCCCAAAGCTAACGCTTAGCTAACAGTTTATCCCTTTTATATTAAAAGTTATTCAAAAGATGTGTTAAAAAAAGCTAAATAAAAAATAGCGTAAAGAACCTAAATGTTTACTTTAGCTTTAGCTTACAGTATATTATAAAACACAAGAAGAGTAAAGAATTGTATAAGACATAAACAAATGTTAACCTGAAAAAAGCAAATGTAACATTTCAACAAAGTTGCTCAACAACTAAAGCCAAAAAGAGAAGAGAAGATGGCAAAGAAAAAGCATGTAGCCAAAACAGCTAGCAAAGCTTAAAACATGCAGCAAAACATCATAAACTGTTAGACGTCACAAACATTTGACATAAAAATAAAACATAAACAGTGACGATGTGTTGGTTTTTTTTTTCAGCCTAAAACATCAGTGAAATATAAGAATAGAAAAACAGACTAAGAATGAGAACGTTACCAGACAACTGCTCCATAAGACTGGAAATACTCTCAGCGGGTGGGAATGGTTGAGGGTCTGGGAGACATTCATCCTGAAAATCCTTACTAATCCAATCATCTGCATCTTAGTCATAATAACTGTTTGTTTTGATGGACAGACACAACTGTGCACTTCTCATAAAGTCACATGTTACCGTCAAAGGAAGTAAATAAAATCGAACGCTGCCCAGTTAAACCCGCGTCATTTACCAGACGTCCGGCCGAACTGGACACACTGAGTCTAACTAGGATTGACATCTGGGTACAATTTCTAAAATTCACAGAGAGATTACCATGGGATTATTATAGGTGGTGGTCCGCGCTTGGCCGTGAGGCCCACAGCTCCACCCATGATTTACCCATGATGCCTGAACATTTTGTTCCCGTCCAGTACTATTTCCTTAATCTGAGAGGTTCTCCTATAAAAATGATACCCTCTGCAATTTTTCCTTATTTTTCCGTAATCCTCCAGACTAACGCTGGCTAATTTCACACTTTCAGTGCAGTATGTTGTATCCATCGTGAAATAGCTCACAGGTGGAACACACCCTTTAAACACCTGAACGCATCACTTATTCACTGTAATTCAAAGGATTAGGGTAAGAACCCTTTCTGTGTAGCAGGCCCGCTGGGCTGTTACAGTATCTGTGGAATTGTGTGCTAAATAAAGCTGTGCCCCGTAGAAAAGTTGGCTGATGATTAGCCGGCTAGAATGTTAGCATGAGGGTATTTCCAAGAAAAACACTTGTGGTTTCTGGTGTCACTGGTTGATGACAGTTTTATATGACAAAAGCCATCAGTTGAAATGCAGACTATAAATCCTATTTACTTTAGAAATTCCTCATGAGGACGTCTTCATTTCAGCCCTTCATCAACAACCAACTCTTTCTGAAACTGGAAAAAAAAAGACTAACATTAAAAGGGCTTAGCAACAAATGGTTTTTCCTTCTAAAGTTTCCTGTTCTTAGAGGTAGATTTTCTTTTACACAATTATTAGTAGGAAAGTAGGAAAAATCGAAGCTCAGAACTACTGAGGCTGGTATCTGGATCTAACTAAGGATGAATAGAAGAATATAGAAAATATTTTTGACTTGATTTACGTCATCATACTGTGATGCTGGTTTCAAACTCTTCTTACAACGTCTCATTGTCATTTGAATTTTCTAAATCAAACATCTTTTAGACTTTACTCTGTCAGTATCAAAAAACCAACTGTTGTTTTGAAACACTACCAGATTATTTTTGAATAAAATAAATTAGTAGTACCAAACGACGTAGGGACCGGCACCAGTCCCCGGACCAGGGGTTAGGGACCCCTGGGACAATTGACAAGAACGTTGTGTCGGACTTACACATTGACCCTCCAGTAGTAGTCTGAAGGTGGTTTGGAACTAATGATGGCTCGATAAAAGGTTTTCTGCAACCTGGAGTATCTGCCGATACCGATATCAATCCGATACCTTCTTTCCCACTCCAGCATACCGTGAGGTAATAGTGGCCCTGTTTACGACATGTCGCCCAAAGTTAAGTTGAGCCTTTGGGCTCAGGTATCAGACCTGATGGGCTTAAGTTATTATTTCAATATCCAGTCTGGAAATTTAAACCGATATCGGACGATACCGATCCTGAGTGTCAGCTCTACCATCCCTATTTGAAAACCACCATCACTTAAATAAATCTTCAGCGCTCGTCCACACCTGTTAGTTTGTACCTGGGACACTTTTGAGCGGCAGGGATCATCTGGCCCGGACCAAATGGATCTGAGCCTCGACTGGATTACTGTCCTGCCACAGATTTGTGAGTCTGAAAGGAAGCAGAAAAAAATGCATTTGAACAGAATATGTGACTATGTTAACTCAACCCTGCATTTCCATCTGAAAACTTTCTCTGCACTGTTTTCTCTCCTGTTAGTGGTCCACGGTACGGCCTACAGTGCGGCCCACAGTGCGGCCCACAGTGTCACGAACACACAGTGAGACAGAGCTGCATGTTAGTCCACAGTTCAGTCCCACTGATGTCCTTCTCCGTGTCTGTGTGTAAACACCGCGGCGCTGCAGATAACCATGAAGACCGGAGCAGGTACCAGAGCGGTCCGTCCCGTCTCACTCAACATCGTCCTACATGGTAAAAACCACAGTAGTTACACAATCTATACTGTGTCAACACACATGGATACTCTGATTGTCCACCAGGGCTCAGGTCAGTATCTGGATCTGAGAGGACGTTTACAGGGGTCCATCCTGTCCTCAGCGCTGAAGAGATCTCCGCTGAGACTCAGGAAGAGTCTGATTAGCTTTTCCTCACTTTACCGTACCCTTCCCCATCCCCCCCCCCCCCCCCCCCCCCCCCCTCAACACAGTCGCCTCAAATATTTTATAGTTTTTCCTCATGTGTTGTAACACCATCGTGAAGGTACTCCATATTTTCATCCTTAAACCAAATTCAGTTTCTTCCGTTGTCTCCTGTCTGCAAACCTAAATCAGTAAATTCTTCTACTGTGTTTTTTTTTTTGTTTTTTTTTCAACCTAATGTGTTCTTCTTCTCTGCCCCTGATCTGATTGTCTGTATACAAACAGACAGGATGAGTGCATTTGGCGTGTGCCAGATACAAATGCTCTCACAGTCCCTTGATCAATCAACTGCATCTCTCAATAAAAACTCTTTTCTTTCCAATCAGCGTGTTTCAGTTCGAGTCTGTGTTTTATTGTGAGTCAGGGATCTGCTGTGGAAGTGACATCACAACATGGATGCCAAGAAAACGAAATCCCTTCAGGTTAAGGATATATGGCGGGTGTGTGTGTGTAGTACGTCAGACAGTGTATTGTGTGTATACTCGGAGTGAGTAGATGGTTGGGTCATGGTGAAGCTCAGCAGTGGACACTTTACTCTAAATCACAGCCTCCCCACTGGAATCTATTTACAGAGAGAATCTGAGGAATCCCTAATGTATACAAGAGGATGGTGGTGGTGGTGGTGTGTTAAGGTGGATGACAGTTCGCAGTACACATATACTAATACGTATGGTATTTCCTAATATTTCACTGCATACTGACGTGGCACTAACATAACTGCCAACACTTTTATTGATTCGTCCTTATTGGGTATTTATGATTTACCACCTACGACTCAGGACCACCCAAAAAAAAACCTTCAGCTTCTCCCAGTTCAGTGTTTATGTGTTTATTTGTAAACGACTGCATCTCGCTTTAGAGAAAGAACTGCTTTTGGCTGACCGATGTTTCAGTACGTAATTGGACGTAACCTTTGACCTTCTGTTTGGACAACCATTTCAAACTGTAACTGTGAGGGACCGCTTGAGAAGTCTATGTTGTGTTTACAGCTTGCTCTAAAAGGGACAGGTCAGAGGTCAAGTTACTCTGATAGTTGGTTCATTAACCCTTTCATGCATGACGGTCACTACAGTGGACAGCTATTAAAATGTCATTTTCTATGATGAGAATAGGTTTTGATGGCAGTGTTGCATATAAGCCTCTACAGTGGACGCCTGAGAATCCACTTTTTTAATAGCTGTCCACTGTAGTGACCGTCATGCATGAAAGGGTTAATCTTGACTTCAGAGCTCTGACCGTTCATGTTCACTATCTGAGCAAATCTATCCAGGGCAAGGGGAAATACACAAGGAGTGAAACAGTAGAAGAAGAGTAAACTTAAGAACTGCTCCAAGAAGTCTAGAAGAGTGAAGCAGTAGAAGAAGAACTAATCAAATCAGTTTCAGGGATGGTAACAACATTCAGTGTTAATGTCAGTGATGAATGAGTCTGAAGAACAGCCTGTCTCCATATAAGGACTCTCTTTACACAGTTGTTATAGACTCAAGCTTCTGTATTTTCATTTCCCAAAAACAGTTGGAACAATTATTATTATGTTGAGACTGGACAGTCCACATCTGTGCAGCTGCTCGGCCGTTAGCAGCACAGGTGGTTGCCTGCAAGCGTGACTTTGGATGAACTTCAGGGGGAGAAAAAAAGAAAGTCCAGTGTCAGCTCAGGGCGAAGTTAAACAGATC